AAACGATACAAAGTGTAAGACCATGCACATGAATCTTAAGAAAAAGAACGCCTACTCATAACTAATTACAGTACTAACGGTTGTGCACTCGAACAAGTGTCGAACATCATTAAGGATCTTGGTGTACTCGTATCCACAACTTTCCTGGTCAATGCACACCGAAACTATTGTTTATGTACGGCAAATAAAACGGGTGTAGACAAAAGGCGGACGGCGGACCGCGGAGCATTTTATAAACACATGGTTACTATACGGCAACTTATTATAATACCCTAAAATATAAATTAGAGTACTGTATACCAGCCTTACATCTGTAAAATGAATATGTTTTCACCCGTTCGATCGCGAATTCTTAGCAATGAAACTTTTTAATCAGCATTCAATACGTACGTATGTATGATAGGCCATACGTTGTCTTTCTCCGGAAACGTTTGGAAATATAATAATAATAATAATAATAATAATAATAATAATAATAATAATAATAATAATAATAATAATAATAATGATTTATTAGCGATTCCAATTTGAATTGGCTCTTCTATCACTAAATTAACTAATCTATATTAAAAAGTACTATATTTACAATGAGTAGCTATGAAGAGTTAATACATCAGGGGCCGGTTGTATAAAACTCTTAATCACTTTTTTAATCAATATTTTGTAGTTAAATAGTGATTAACTCTCAAATAGGCGCTTCTTATTGGATGACATTTCCACTTAACCATAGTTAACTTTAATCACTTTTTTATACAACCGGCCCCTGTACAGTACATTCACACAGTCACGGTACATATTTCACAAAACAGATGTAACAAAACATAGTCATTTATACCACGGCCAGAGCCTCTCATGGGCCAAGTCTGTGAGATAGACTTTCACACTTGTTCTAAAAATGTTGAAATCTTTGCAATTTCGCAAACTATCTGGCAGAGAGTTAAATGCAGCTGCAGCAAAAAATCTACACTCGCGTTGCTCGCGCATGACTCAAAGCATTATCGACCACTTGTTCTTCCCACATCTACTGCCTTCTTCAATATGATCTCGCCAATCTGATAAACTGGACCGCTGATAATCCAATGCAACTAAACGATACAAAGTGTAAGACCATGCACATGAATCTTAAGAAAAAGAACGCCTACTCATAACTAATTACAGTACTAACGGTTGTGCACTCGAACAAGTGTCGAACATCATTAAGGATCTTGGTGTACTCGTATCCACAACTTTCCTGGTCAATGCACACCGAAACTATTGTTTATGTACGGCAAATAAAACGGGTGTACGTAGACAAAAGGCGGACGGCGGACCGCGGAGCATTTTATAAACACATGGTTACTATACGGCAACTTATTATAATACCCTAAAATATAAATTAGAGTACTGTATACCAGCCTTACATCTGTAAAATGAATATGTTTTCACCCGTTCGATCGCGAATTCTTAGCAATGAAACTTTTTAATCAGCATTCAATACGTACGTATGTATGATAGGCCATACGTTGTCTTTCTCCGGAAACGTTTGGAAATATAATAATAATAATAATAATAATAATAATAATAATAATAGTAATAATAATAATAATAATAATAATAATAATAATAATAATAATAATAATAATAATAATAATAATAATAATAATAATGATTTATTAGCGATTCCAATTTGAATTGGCTCTTCTATCACTAAATTAACTAATCTATATTAAAAAGTACTATATTTACAATGAGTAGCTATGAAGAGTTAATACATCTGTACAGTACATTCACACAGTCACGGTACATATTTCACAAAACAGATGTAACAAAACATAGTCATTTATACCACGGCCAGAGCTTCTCATGGGCCAAGTCTGTGAGATAGACTTTCACACTTGTTCTAAAAATGTTGAAATCTTTGCAATTTCGCAAACTATCTGGCAGAGAGTTAAATGCAGCTGCAGCACTGTCCTGAAATGTTTCGCTTTCGGTTGGCACTTCAAGTTGGATTTGTGATGATGATCTAGAGTTCGTCCTGGTACATACTGATCTACCTTAATATATTCAGGCCAATTTTAAAAATTTGCCTTAATTAGTTTTGGAGCTTCTGTTAGGCAGGGCTATTAATCCACGTTTTACTTATAAACCTAAGAGCTTCACACGTAGCAAATGGACATTTGCATGCGATGACTATTCTACTGTATATATGGATTCTAGAAATATTATATATTAGGGGTGGAATGGATTCTAGAAATATTATATATTAGGGGTGGACCATTTGATGGGGTGGATTTTCATTGAGCCCAATAATATTTTTAACCTCCTAATGCTGTTCGATCTTTTTGTGCATGTCGTTCAAGGCTCTTGAACGAATTTTTTATTTCGTGGGCACATATAAAAGTTGAATTGCTCGATATTTTTTGGCCGTTTGTTCTTGTGCGATATTTTTTCAAAGTTCAATATTTTGGGGGGTATCGCGCCCATTAGACAAGGACGGCGGATGACGGAGCATTTCATAAACACATGCATGGATTGATTACTACCGCAACTCATTATAATACCCTAAATTAAAGTATACCATGCAGCCTTACATTTGTAAACTATGAATATGTTTTCACCCGTTCGAATTCTTGGCAATGTAATGTTTTATATGTGCCCACGAAATAAAGAAAATTGTTTAAGAGCCTTGAACGACAGAGAAAGATCGAACAGCATTAGGAGGTTAAAAAATTATCGGACTCAATGAAAATTTACTCCATCAAACGGTCCGCCTCTAATATAATATTTCTGAAATCCATAATATATTATATAGAATAGTCGTCGCATGCAAATAGGCCATTTTGCTACGTGGGTATTTGCACGGAAATCGCAGGGCCGCATGTTCAATTCCTGCCAGGGACCTAAAGTTGCATTTTTTGCTCCTGTTCCTGGTTAGGACTAATAAATGTATATTAATTTCCACTCTACAATTTCCATCTACAATCATCCATCAAAGATTATTTTCATTATGAAACAACAAATCAGCACTATTTAAAGCACAAAAATGTCAGCATTTTAATAGCCTTGCCTAACAGAAGCTTCCAAAATTTTCAAGAAAGACAACGTATATCCTATCATACATATGTATTGAATTCTGATTAATAAAATATCAAACAAATTTATTAAAGAAGCTGGAAATACGATATATACGATTCCTTATTGCATGTATTCAACCTTGTATTGAAAACTGGAACTTTTCCAGAGGACTTTTAAGTCCTCTGCAAGATTTTCGCAAGATTTTCTGCAAGTTTTAATTATATAAAAACTTGCAAAATTAGTAATTCCAATTCACAAAGAAGGAGACAAGGCTGAGTGTGGAAATTATAGACCTATTATAATATCTGTGATTCCGAAAATGCCCAGAATCTTAGAAAAACTCATTTTCGATCAGTTAAGCTTGTATATTAACAGAAACAATATCATCTGCGAACAGCAATCCGGCTTTCGCCTATGTCACTCCACAGCGCAAGCTAGTGTTGGGTAAACCTAAAACTGATCTTATGAAAAGATCCTTTTCATACCGAGGAGCTTGTGCCTGGAACAACTTACCCATTGGCATCGTCAACGGGTATGAGCAACTATCAACAATTCATTTTAAAATTTTAATCGACATTTTAAATTTTAATCGATTATTTTTCTATAGATTAAATGACTGTTGATAATGCTCACAAGTATTGCAACATGATTAATCAATATTGTTTCATCTAACATGACTTATTTGTGTAAATATCCATATTAATTAATATTTTATGTACTATTTAAAAAACGAGCAGGAGTGTTTTATTAGGTTTAAAGCCACGAGCGCGCAGCGCGAGTGGCTTTAGACCTAATAAAACACGACCTGCGAGTTTTTTAAATGACTTCAAAAACATTTGCATAATAAGTCAAATCTTTATATAAAAATCTTTATATCAAAATCTTTATATAAAAATCTTTATATAAAAATCTTTATATAGTTTGCATAACAATGGTCTTTTGTTAAAGTGTTCTTTAGCTTGTATAAAGACGTATGCACGTGACTAATTTCTTACTCAAGATTGGATAATTGCTTCATGAATTATTAATGAGTTTTTGAAAGTTTTATACAAAACGATCCCTTGAAAAGCAGCGATAGCCGAAGGGCTATCGTTTTTAAATAACCTTTATAAATAAATAAACAAATAAATGAAAAGGACGACGAATGAGCAACGTCTGATGGCGCCCAGGCCAAGTGACGGATGGATCAAGATTGGGGTGGGGGCTATTACTGATCGAATATGAAACATTTCGGACGCTAATCAAGTAATCTTTTTTCCCAAAATTGTTGGCGAAAATTGTAAATAATTATATAGTGATGCGAAGTTATAGGGACTTTCATGGAGTATAAACAACTGTTATATTTTTCAGTTAAATTTACGATCAGGTTAGTGTCAAGCCTTCGTTTGTTCATACACTGAGAAAGTCATGCACATGAGCTCAGTTGTAAGGGGTAAGGTATTAATTGGGACGAAAGTTCTGTTCCTCATCCTATGCGGTCACGTATACGTTTTCTTGTAACATGTTATGCATGTATATGTGAGTGTCAGTTTAAGTGACGAATTTAATAATAATAATAATGGAAACTTTATTAAATGTTTTTCTTTACATACATATACAATCGTAAATCTCTCTCATAAAGGTAACTTACGGTTGGCTATTTGAATCACAATTATACTAAACTAAAATAACAGAACAAAGTGCATGCAATATATATATATATACAATGAGATAAGTCAAATTGTTAGTAAATTAATCCGGATTTTCCCATTCCTTATTTCGGCAACAGAAAATGTAATATGTAGTTCTAATAGCAATAGTCATCATTTTCCTAACGCAGTACATTTGGTGGTTTTTGTCAAGACCAATACTATCTAACATGTCTAAAAATGTATAACATTCTTCTGCAAAAATACCTAAAGAGCTGATGGAGAGATTTATAAATTTAACTTGGCTAAAATTTTTACCTAGCTGTCTCAATAATTCTCTATATTTATCCTTCTTCCGTTTTACATTGTTTTTGAGGTTTGTCTCATAACCAGTGGTGAGTTCAACCACATATAAGGAACCATTTGAGCACGATAATAACAAATCTGGGCGATACGTATCACCAGTAAGTATTGAAGGGCTTTTGAATCCATTTAGATCAGCGTAGAGAGTAGAACCGTCAACAGTTTGTAACTGATGAGCAAGAAAGTTTAGGACTGAATTGTGTCTCCACGTAAATCGGTCGAGATAAAACTGACATCCAGCTACTATGTGTAGTAATGTTTCAGGGCTAAGACAAAAAGAACAGTCTGAATTTGAAGATATTGCCCATCTGTTTAGGTTTTTGCGCGTCGGAAGAGAGTTGTTAATGTAACGAATGGTGAAGTTGTGAATGTTTTTCGGGAGCTTTGATTGGGCAATAGACCACACCTTGTTAAGCTGAGGTAAAGCGAACTTCGTGACGCTGCAGAAAAAGGATCCTTGACTGGTTAATTCGTTTAGGAGTTTGTTTTCGTGTCCAGAACGGAAATCTTTGAGAACTTCCTTAGTAGAGTTATAAGCGTCATATTGGATATTAGTATGGTTACTGGTTGCTCTCCACAGGTCGTTAGTTGATTCAT